TGGGAGAGGGGAGGGTTGCGGGTGGGAGGGACGTTATGGGGGGGGAAGCCATTGTAATCCATAAGCCGTACTTTGGAAATTTATATTCATTAAATAAAAGTTAAAAAAAAAAACTTAAAAAAAAAAAAAGAAATCATCCCAACAGTGATATGGCTGACTTCTAAACCAGCTTGGAAATGGCTGAATCTTAATTTTGTTTTTTTGTTTTCATTAGAGGACAATGAGAAAAACTTGTCCCTTGGTCTCCAAACTCTCCGGTCCCTGAAGGTAGGATTGATTCCACCTTCCTTCTTTTCTGCAGTGGGGATTGTCTTAAATGGGGACCTGTAGTGAGGTCATTGACAGAGATTAGTGATTCTTCTTTGTTTTCAGTGTGTCATAAACTTGGATAAGCATCGGCTGATCATGGGAAAGACAGACAAGGAAGAAATCCCTTTTGTGGAGACCATTTCTTTGAATGAAGACAAGTAAGTACCCAAATGGGTCAGGTCAAGTCAAATGCATTGTCATGAGCTGGGGGAGGTGGAGGTTCTCAGACAGGATATGAGATTATATCCTGCCTTTGACTTTCAGTCATACCACAAGTCCCTCCCCACCCACAGAGTTCACTGTCCCTCAAAATTCTGTAGCCCACATTTCAGAACGAGTAACAATTGTGCCACCCAAATGAATGATGGGGAAAATGAGTAGCTTTTAAACCACATTTTTTTTTTTACTTACCTTCAACCTAACTTTTTAAAATTTGATATAATTTCTTCTGATATTTCTTTCTCATTTCAGCACTTCAGAAGCATAACTGCAGCCTGCAGTGTATCTGCACATGTGCACACATACCAGGTTGACAGATTGAGAAATCTAGGTTTGAACCAAATGCAGTAGCAAGCTTCTGTGGACCAAGTGATTCTCTCTCATAGAAGCCCCAGGGGCTCCTTCCCACCCAGACCTCTCTAGACTATAGTCTGTGCTTAGAGAACTTGTCTGGTTATAGCCATTGTTTTTTACTCCTTGGATCACTTAATTTATAGACCCTTTTTGACACTGCCAGGTCTTACTTGTGGCCTATTTCTCTGCTTCTTTCAGGAGTTTGCTTTTATTAGTCAAATATAGGAGTTACGTGGTTCTATTTCTCCATAGATACACCTGGTTCTTTTCCTGTAGCTAAATGTATAATAAACAGGAACTGACCTTTACCTCCTTTTAGCTGTTTCAAAGAGGTACCTGATGTCTACGTCTTGGAATTTAAATGTCTTCTAATTAATTCATTGATTTCTCAAGTATGAGTGGATCTGAAAGAAAGAGCACATAGAGATGATCTATCCCAGCTCTTCCATTTAAAGGCCCATAGAAGCAAATGAATTGTCCAAGCTTATATATTAAGTCAGTGGCAGAAGGACCTAGAACTCAGACCTGACTGCCAAGTTAAGGTTCCTATGTTGCCTCATTCATCTTCAAGCCTTAACAGGAGGGCAAAGAGGCAAGAGTGTGATAAAAGGCAGGGTAGGGGAAGAATATGCTTTGGAGGTAGATACTAGGAGGATAACATCCTTCCTAAATGGCCTTCCCTCCTGTGTGCCAAGTTCACTAAGAATTCATTGCCCCAAATGTTTGGGCTCTTTTCTTCATGCCTAAAACCTGAGGGTACACGAGGGGGCCGCCCCTGGGCAGCCTCTATGGTGGTGGGAACGCCACCGGAGGCCAAAGGGGGCTCCCTCTGTGTGACAGGGAGCAGGGGGCCTTAGGCACAAGTGGGGGGTCCCAGAATCTGGGGCTTCTCTTCTGACCTGTTTTTCTTAATTTTGGGGGAGACAATAGTCACCTAATTTTGTTTTAACTTCAGTGGAATTTATATACTCATTCATCAAATAACTTGGCATTTCAAAGAAAAAAAAAAAAAACCTGAGGGTACAAAGAGGAATAAGAGGATCTGTCCTTAGAGGAGAGGACCCACAGAGATCCACAAAGAAGGAACTGAAAAATTCAGTAATAATCTGAGCATTCTTGTGATTGCCCCCAAGATCCAGACAGTACCTCTGCCTCGCCTTTTATTTGTCTGCCAAGGATGCATCTAGCTGGGAACAGTGGTAGTAAAGGAGATGAAAAAACTCAGATTAGGGCCAGACTAGGAGTGCTAAATAGAATGAATGGGCTGGGGGGCCCAGCTGGGAAAGCCTTTCTGGGATGGAGATGGGGAGTGAGACTTCTAGGCAGGGAACTGGGAGGTTGGAAAACTCTGAGCTCTGCCCAAATCCAAGGAAGCAGGGCAGGGTTAGCAGTGTTAAGGATGACCTTTTATAACTGCCCAGTATTTCCTGGCCCTTCTCAAAGAGTTGGGGAAACACAAGGATTTTTTGAAACATTTTTTGCTAGGGGATCAGTTTAGGCACACAGCACCTGTAATAGAATCTCTGCTTCAGTTCAGAAGTGCTTGCATAAATCAGAAAGGCAGCCAGCTATGAATATGCTGGTAAGAGATTCCTGAGTTCACCCTTAGCTTATAGCAGTTCTCAGAGTGTTTAATGGATCCTACTTTGAATTTTGTCAAGTACCACCAACTATCTTGTTTGACATTCAGCTACTGTGCCTACCAAACAACTCTTTGGAACTCTGAATGTTTTTGGCCTCAAAGGAGCTTCCTAAGGACTTAGGATTTGATGAGCCTCTTGTAAACAACTAGGCAGCCATACTGCATTCAGTTGTCACTAGGTCGGTCATTCCCTTGGCTCCCTTTCCATCATCCTCTACAAAGGAAGCTGGATGGAAACCCAAGCACAGCCACAGTAGGGAGGCCACATCTGAAGCTCATCAAGGGTGATCCTAAGGTTACTAGCCTTTTGCACCCCTCCAGCTACAACCTATTCTCTTACCTAGGGAGACTTGCACCTTTCTGCTGAGGCTGTTCCACACTCCTCCCCTACCTGTAACACTAACACTTTGGCCTGCTTCGTAGCCTAGTGCTGAGCTGAAAGACTTCATCCCTTAATTCCCTACCTGAAAGTACCACTCTGAGCCTTGACTCTTGGCCACAAGTGAGGCATACTGCAGGCTTCTCCTGGTTTTTCCTTATTTGGATTCCCTATGAACCAAGTGAGGCCAAAAACTTTCAGGTTCTAAAATGATGCAACTGACTTTGGCCATTTGAACTCGAGAGAATATGACCTCAGAGGGATGCGCAAATGGCCTTTTAGTGATCCTTCTAGCTTCTGAAAATTAGTCAGTGATTTTCCAGCTTGGGAATAGGAACAGTTTAGGTAAATTGAGTTTAGGACATCATAATCTCACTCAGTGCAATTAAATCATTTGAATTCTCTAACAAAATAATTGTATTTTAAACTCCAGGCTTCATAGAGGCACCTAAAAATTCTAAAGACACCAAAATATTTATGGTTTTCTGTAGACTTTGTAATTCCACATCTTCTCTGTCTTCCACGAAATATACTTTTTGACTGTTAAAAAAGTATAAAAATAATTTTGAGAAGTCTTACACTTTCATTAACCTTCTTTAAATGCTGCCTAATTAAGTTTTCTGATAGCCTGTATCTCCTTGATGTTCATGAAGAATAGCAGGTCTACTTTTGGGGGGCTGGCAAGGAAGAAGGTGAGGTGAGGTCTTCCCAGAGTCCTAGAAAATTCTGGTGCCTCTAACTGAGGACATGGGAGAAAGAGTCTCCATCTGGGTCACAGTTCTGAATGTGGGCAGTAGCAGAAGTACCAGACCTATCTCACTGTATATTAGGTGACCATCTCAAGTACAGGAAGTTTACAAAATATTATTTTTATTGTTTGGCATTTCTATGTCTGACTCGTTTGGGGAACGAATGTTTTCTGACTTTTCTATTTCCTTGCCCTGCACAGACCCTACCTGGTATGATTTTCTATTCCTTAGTGTCTGTAGAATGGATTGCCTGGTGTGTCAGCTGCCCTCACTCTTGTGTAATAGAAATATCTTTCCAGGCTGGGGACGTGGAGGAGATGAACTGGATTCCTCCTCCTGTTGCCAGACCGTTCTGCATTGGCACTTTATTCGCTCAGTGTTTCTGGCTGTCTTAGGTATATTTGAGAGACCAATGTAACAATAAAATGAAATCTGCCTCTCTCTGTGTTTGTCTGACTGTCTGTGTGTTGGGGAGGAGGCCCATATGCAGCCTAATTCCATCAGTGTTTTTCTTCGAGGATCTTCTGACATCAAGGCCTTGTGGTCCTTGGGTTCTCCATTGCTATTGTCCCTTCCTCTCTCCATTTCTGGCCGAATGTCCTTGGAAAAATTAGTGAACCACACTTAGCTTAGTTTTATAATCCATAGTGCATGCTTCACAGTGTCAAATTAGATAATCTGAGTGGTTGCCATTCAAATCTTTATACACAAGAACACTGTTTTGGGGCCGGTGCTGTGGCGTAGCAAGTAAAGCTGCTGCCTGCAGTGCTAACATCCCATCTGGGCAGTAGTTTGAGTCCCGGCTGCTCCAGTTCTGATCCAGCTCTCTGCTATGGCCTGGAAAAACAGTAGAAGATGGCCCAAGTCCTTGGGCCCCTGTACCCACGTGGGATACCCAGAAGAAGCTCCTGGCTCCTGGCTCCTGGCTTTGGATTGGCGCAGCTCTGGCCATTGAGCCATCTAGGGAGTGAACCAGTAGATAGAAAAATCTCTTTTTCTCTCTCTCTGCCTCTCTGTATCTCTGCCTTTCAAACAAATAAATAAGTCTTAAAAAAAATAATTTTAACCCAGCACTGTGGCACAGCGGGTTAATGCCCTGGCCTGAAGTGCCGGCATCCCATATGGGTACCACTTCTAGTCCCAGCTGCTCCTCTTCTGATCCAGCTCTCTGCTATGGCCTGGGAAAGCAGTGGAAGAAGGCCCAGGTCCTTGGGCCCCTGCATCCACGTGGGAGACCCGGAGGAAGCGTGGCTCCTGGCTTCGGATTGGTGCAGATCCGGCCGTTGTGGCCATCTGGGGAGTGAACCAGCAGATGGAAGACCTCTCTGTCTGTCTCTCTGTAACTCTGTCTTTCAAATAAATAAAAATAAATCTTTAAAAAAATTGTTTTATGATGGGTTGATCAGCAGTGTTTGGGAGAACACTTCTAGAAAGGGAAATAAATATGTAGTTCAAACAGCTAGGAAAGTTTTGGGAAGGGAAAGGGTTGAATGACAGTATATAATTAAAGTCATTGTCTAAATGACATCCCAAATAAATGTATTTTACAAATGATGGAAATGTATCTTTTAAGTGTTAATATTTTAAATATTTATTTTAAATATTTAAGTAGTCTGCAAAAAATATGCTTTGATTATCATAGTCTGGAATTACACTTCTACTCAAAAGATACTGCTATCCCACTTCAAAAGGTTTTGTCTTTTTTTGTCCATGTAATCTAACTATGAAAAGTGTCCAATTAAGAAAAATGTCCCCCCAGAACTGGCTCTTAAGCAGTGAATGCTCACTCATCTCAAAAAACAAAAACTAAAAAAATCAAGTTTTAACATTAAAAACTGTAACTTTCATTTCTAAAAAATACTGTATTTGCATAACAAGAACTTGGATTAACAAATTTATATGAAGATTATATTGATGTCTTAGTTGATTACACATAGGTACACATGAGGGTTCTGTGTGCAGGAAATGCCATTTGCAAGACAGAAATGTGTAGCCTAAGTAAAGGGCAATGGTAACATAATGATTGTCTTCACAGCTATCATGTGCAAAGTGTTCTTTCTGGTACCAGAAGCCAAGCACCTCCAATAGGTAGAGGTGTCAAGAAGCATAGCCTGACTCAGTTGGTGGGAAGCATCCACTATAAACCAGGGACTCCGCTAACCCCCACAAAGAAGGTTATACTCTGTAATTTTGCAGTAGAGAAAGCTGAAGTACCGAGTAGTATCTGTATACAGCTAGCACAGGGAAGTCTTTGGTGCAGCAGTTGAACTTCTGCATGTGATGCACCTGCACTCCATGTCAGGGTGCCTGGGTCTAAGTCCTGCCTCTGCTACTGATTCCAGTTTTCTGCTAACGCATACCCTGGGAAGCAGCAGGTTGTGGCTCGATGCTTGGGCCTCTGCTACCTGTGTAAGAGACCTGCATTGAGTTCTGAGCTAAGGGGAAGCATTCTACTGAAAATGGGGATTTAGAGTTCAGCATTCGGAAGTAAAAAATGTCTTTCCCTGGCTTGGATCCCAGAACTCTGGAACTTGGCTGTTAACTCGGGATAGTGCTTCTGCTGCCACCCTCTCAAGGTGGGTTCTTTCTCACACAGTCCTATTACTGGTCTGAAAGAAGAGGTGGATGCTGTCCTTTACCCATTCCTGCTTCCAGACATTTCTTCTATCTGCTTTTAAAATTTTTTCAGCTTTGATTCTAATGACATCAAATTATATCACTTCCTTCCCTGTGTTGCTGCTGTCATCTACAAAATATATAAACCCTTGATCATTCCATTTCTCAATAAGTTTAGCTCTTGGCTCATTTCACTCCCCATTGCCCCCAGCACTACTCTTTGGCTTAACTCTATTGAATTAGATACCTGGACGACCCTTTTAATACCCTGACATATCAGTTCCTTTAATTGCCTGTTTTCCACGGATTTTTTCCTCTACTCTTCTTATCCATTCACTTGCATGGACACACCTTAGATCTTGTTATTTATTACCAAAAATTATAAGCCCTCAATCTCAGATTCATATATCTCACTGTCTGACCACCACCATCTATCTTCCAGATATCTTCTGGGAACATAACTCCAACATTCCTTTGATTACCACCTTTTAACTATCGCTAACCTCTTAGTTTCTCTTTTCCTTCAAAATTGACTTCAATCCCAGATTCAGTCATTATAATCACTTCCTTAATATATACTTTTAATTTAGTTTGCTTTCCTTTTTGTCTTGTTCTCTGCAAAAAACCACAGCTTCAGTTAAACCAGGTCTTTGCCTACCCCTGTACCTGTACAGTATCCATGCTAACTGGCCTCACTTTAAATTCATGTACATAAACCTCAGGCCCTTAACGCTGGCTGACAGTCATTTCCCCCTAATCCATTTTCCTTCCCATTCATCTAAATCAGGGATCAGCCAACATTTTCTGAAAAGGGCCACATAATGTATTTTTGGCTTTGGAGGTCATGGCCTCTTTTGCAGCTAGCTACTCATTGTGATCAACAATATGTAAATTTATGAAATTTGAATTTCATGACTTTTACATGTCATGATACACTAGCATCTCTAGACCCCCCCCTTAACCATTTAAATGTATAAAAACTATCCTAGGGGCTGGCGCTGTGGTGCAGCGGGTTAAAGCCCTGGCCTGAAGTACCAGCATCCCATATGGGCGCTGGTTCTGGTCCCAGCTACTCCTCTTCCAGTCCATCTCTCTACTATGGTCTGGGAAAGCAGTAGAAGATGGCCCAAGTCCTTGGGCCCCTGCACCCACATGGGAGACCTGGAAGAGGCTCCTGGCTCCTGGCTTCGGATTGGTGCAGCTCTGGCCATTTCGGCCATCTGGGGAGTGAACCAATGGATGGAAGACCCCCCCCCCCGCCTCTCTCTCTGTATAACTCTGACTTTCAAATAAATAAATCTTTAAAAAAACAAAACTATCCTAATCTTATAGACCGTACAAAAACAGGATTTGGCCAAAGCTAGAGTTTGCTAAGCTATGTTGTAATTTACTTCCTGTCTTTTTTTCTCCTGAAACTTCCAGCACCTTCTTCCCCATTCTCATTCTCAAATGATGACCTTGCTTTATACTTCATGAAGGAATCAGAATATCCATCACTCCTACCACATCTACCATGTTACACATGTGTGTGCATATATTCCACTTTCCCTCTGTTACCATAGTATCATAGCATATTACCTAAATATTGTATAATTTATCCTCTCCATCCCGAGTAGAATGTTAGTTCCAAAAGGGAAAACAGTGTTGTCTGTTTTGTTCCTTGGTGTATGCTCAGCACCCAGAACATAAGTGTTAGCATGTAGTAAGTGTTCAACAAATATTAAAATGAATATATACTGACTCCCACAGGTAGAAGTTTAGAGAATTTTTCTCCAGAGAAACCTACCTCCCTTTCCAAGAGAAAAGACATAGCTGTCTTGACAGCTGGAGATCTTCATCACGTAATTGGTACTTTTCAAATTTCTTCGAAAAAACGCATAAGAAATTCCCATTTTATCGGATCAGTCCAGTACATAACATGTACATATGGGGGAGGGGTAATAAGAAACCAACATTTCTCAAAATAATTCCCTTTTTGTGTGGGATGCATTCCTACATAGTCTTGTATTCTGTGATTTTGGGACGGGTGTGAGGAACGTTAGTTGCAAGTCATCAAATTGCACAAACCACTGAAGTGTCTGCAGAACCAGACATTTGAAAAACACTGCAGTTTGTCCTAATTATAAGCTCTGTCCTAATTATAAGGTTTGAATCAGCTTGCTAATACCTACCTCACTCTTATGTGTGAATGGATAGCCAAGGATCTCCAGACATTTGAGAAGCTTCCAAGACAAAAGACAAAAACAGATTGAAAAACTCAACACAAGCCGGCGCCGCGGCTCACTAGGCTAATCCTCCGCCTAGCGGCGCCGGCACACCGGGTTCTAGTCCCGGTCGGGGCGCCGGATTCTGTCCCGGTTGCCCCTCTTCCAGGCCAGCCCTCTGCTGTGGCCAGGGAGTGCAGTGGAGGATGGCCCAGGTGCTTGGGCCCTGCACCCCATGGGAGACCAGGAAAAGCACCTGGCTCCTGTCTCCTGCCATCGGATCAGCGCGGTGCGCCGGCTGCAGCAGTGGTCACTGGGGGGTGAACCAACGGAAAAGGAAGACCTTTCTCCCTGTCTCTCTCTCTCACTGTCCACTCTGCCTGTCAAAAAAAAAAAAAAAAAGAGAGAAGCAAAAGAAAACGAGAGGGGCTGGCGCCGTGGCTCACTTGGTTGGTTCTCCGCCTGTGGTGCCCCATATGGGCCCCGAGTTCTAGTCCAGTTGCTCCTGTTCCAGTCCAGCTCTCTGCTGTGGCCCAGGAGGGCAGTGGAGGATGGCCCAAGTGCTTGGGCCCTGCACCCCACGGGAGACCAGGAGAAGCACCTGGCTCCTGGCTTCAGATCAG